CTTTGAAATCGATTTTAAGCGGTCGTTATTCATATACCCACCTACATACCCACCTACATACACACATATATTACTTTTCATATCAATTCAAGTGTATTACATGCGCCCCACGCTTTTCATTTTCAATTTCATAGATTGTTTATAATGACTTTTGCTAAAATTTCAAAATCAAAAGTTATCAAAACAAATTCTATGGGACTGANTATATTATTTATTTTCTACTTTTTAGTCCTGTCTGAATAAAATTTTGCAATAGATATTAAAATAATTCAACGATATTAATAGAAAGGTGCACACACATGCATTTACATATGTATGTACATACAAACGAGCACCAATTAATTTTATTTAAAGAAATGGCGTGTCGTCTATTTCCGCTGTAGCAAACGTAGTACATAGGGCGACATCTAGATGTCATCTACCTCGCCCTATTCACTACAGATATCGCCCTATGCACTATTCTTTTTTATAGGAACTTTTCAAAGCAAAGGTTTAATGGTGTCAGACACGCAACATTGAAAGTTTCTGGATCCACAACATTGAAAGTTTCTGGACACACAACATTGCAAGTTGATAAAAGCGTTGTAAAAAGGGTGGGTGAATACCTTTCCACTGGTACCTCAAAAGTCTAAATCGGAGTAGCGCAGTTATTCAAGTTTTACTTAAACCAATCTTGGAAAAAAGTTAAAAATTAGCATCTAAAATCTCATTATTACGACTATTTTGATACATTTTTATACAGATTTTATAAGATTGAACCGTTTTGTCATATGATTCCATTTTTGGAGGTTTTTTTCAAATCAGTCCAGCTCACGTTAATTTTAATGTTTTTCCGACATATTTTGGTGGAAGTCTTCAAATATAATCAATTTTGTAATCCCGGCGGATAAACCTCAACGTTTTGGGTGATGCAGTATAATGTATATACATACCTACATATATGTATGTATTTAGTTTGTATTGAATTTTAGTTGTTTGAAAAATTTTTTTCAAAGGATAAGTAAAATATACGCTGTTTTGTTTTACCACGTCAGAAAATGTGAAAATTCTCACTGTTCCGCCCTCTGGCGGAAATTAAAAAAAAAAGATAGGTCTATAAAGGGGTTTTCTCTTACCAAAAAACCCCTTATAGCATTTTTTTTTACAAAATTTACGACCCTACAGCAAAATGCTAAGTGAAAGAAACCTATTTTCGCAATTTGGTAAACTCCACATTGATTTCAGACCAATGGTTTCTTCTGCAAATTCGCTTAGAACTACACGTAGAAGCCTCCTATGATAAACGCCTATAGTCGAAAAAATTGACCCGCCCTTATGTATTTATGTATTCAAGAACACTTAGGTCGCATAATCAAAATACATATATGTACATATGTATGTAGTCTGTGCATAAATGTAGTGATACGTTGTTGGAAGGACATCATTAACGCGCTATACTAAACCTGTCAATGCCAAATGCAAATTGGATGTCAACAGCAGGCGTTAGATATCGACGGTACTTCGGCAAAACCTCGTATCTCAAAAGTCAATACTACTTCATATCTCGTAGAAATAATTCAAAATAGGCCTTAAAGTACTTCATTAAAAATGTTTCATAAAGAACTACTATTATTATTATTATTTATTGTTATTTACAATTAAAATTATAAAGTAACATTTAAGCACAAGTTTCCACGGCTATCGGCTTAATTAACTAAAAAGTACTTACTCTTTCATATTCAGTAAAAAAATTATTAAAAATGATTTTCTGTTATTAATAAAAGGCTTTTTGTTGGAAAATGTTTTGATATACAAGGTTTTGCCAAGATATCGTCGATATGCTCTTTTGCGGAAATTCATATAACAAATTATTTTCGAAGATACCTAGTACTACATATTACCATGTTTCGGGCCTCGGCGAAGTCGATCAACCTTAGTCCGTTATCGGACGTTTCGTCGTGAAGGCTGAATTTTCCTACAGTGGCGCCAAAGACCCCTTCCTTGCCCACCTTGGCATAAAAATCGCCTAGCACAATTTTTATATCGTGTTGGGGGAAGCGCTCATATGTATGCTCCAAGCGCCCATAGAAGAGATCCTTGGCCGCCTCGTCCTTCTCTTTCGTCGGGCATGGACGCAGATGAGCGAGATGTTGAAGAATCTTGCTTTAATGCGGATTATGACTAGACGTTCGACCACCGGGGTGAACGAACGTCTATACTTGGCGGCGGAGTCTTTCTCCTACCACGAATCCAATACTGACGCTTATCTTGTCTTGCCCCGTCCATCGCATTTCTTGGATCAACCATTCGGGCAGAGGCACCTTCTCTATTAAGGGTCCGGATATTCAAGGTGCATACCCTGAAATCATAGTGCTTTATACGTTTTCCGTGGTCGTCATCAAAAACAGGGGGGTCTCGTCCGAGGCTTTCTGAACTTTTTCATTGGGCAGGCTTTTAACTTGGCGGGACCCAAACCCAGCGCACGCGAAGTTCTTCTCACTTTAGCTCGCTCCCAAACGGTCGTTTGGTTGCTACCCAGAGGATANTACGAGTAGTTCAAAGTGGAAGTACGCATTTACATGGACATATACATATGTACATAAATACATAAGTATTAAGTAGAATATAGATATATGTCTATTTGAGCCAGAGGGATTATCGTTTTCCAACCGCCAGCAAGCGTACTCAAAGTTTAATTTATGAGTAGAAAGACTACCTACAATAAAGAAGAAACATACAAAAAGTATACATACGTATATGTATACATACTATATATGTAGTTTGCATAATGTAATATGCAAAATCATGCTAATATCAGTGATAAAGTATTGTGTGGGGAGGAGCGGACCTGAAAGCAATGGAGCTGATGATTTCTAGCTGACGAGTGCATTGACAAGACTACGCAAATTTAGTATGTATGCATGTTCGTACGTGCATATGTATGTCCGAATATCCTTGGTTGGATAAAATATTGTCGTATGTTACTTTCGACAGATTTTGGGAAATCACGATTGAAGTTTAGGTGCAATTTCTCTAAAACGCGACAATAGATTTTCTGCTAATAGTAGAAGATCCGAATAAGGTACGATCTTCACCCATATGTTTAATGGATGAAATCTTCTTTGTGTGAAATTTAACGGGAAATATTCCCCGAGTGGCTTGGCTGCAAAAATCTTGGCCAGGATATTTTTAATTAAATATTCAAAAATAAATATTTTTATTTTTTTTCACTCATTTGTTTAATGCACAAATTACATATATACTAATCGAAAACATAAAGCCTATATAATGTGTTAAGCAGATGAGCGAAAATTACTACTTAAACCTTTTTCAGTTTTAGTTCAGAAAGTTGCATTTTAAATACAGAAAGTTACAATTTAAGTTCAGAGCTCCCATTTCAAATTCAGAATTTTCATT